AAAACGCCGCAACTCATGTTAATTTGAGGGGTTTTTAAAACCTCCGTAAAATAACTCTCACTAAATAGCATTTTTTTTTGTAGTGATATTCTAAACAAAGAATTTATCTGTCTCAAAAAATCTTACTTTTTCAGTCTTTGAGGATACATGTTTCTTAGGATGCTACCTTGTAGCTCTAACCATGGACCCTAATATCAAATTAAGCCCCATGTTGGGGATCATTTACCTAACCTTAGTAGAAAAATTGGTTTTTGACATATTATATATTATTATATAAGACCATACATCCATTATGCAGTTAATAAATTCATTGATTCTCAGCTACCTGGATATACACATTTTCTTGTTGTTCGGTGTTCATAATCTCCTACTACATCAAATTAATTCACCTTTCTCTCTCAAGCTCTTAAATAAATCACTAAGGTCGATAGTAACAGAATTTAGGAGTATACACATGATCTCAAATTTAAATTTTGATATTGTTTTTATAACTCAACTAATAAAAAAAACTCCTCAATTTGTTAAAAAAAACATATAATCTTGATTCTCCTCTCTACCTTTCTCTATGTGTGAGACTATGGCACTTGTGCTACCCGAAGAAAGTGGGCAACCATGGGGCTATGGAAACATTAACTGCGGAAACGAGAAGCAACCATACATTGGCCCATTTTAAATGTACCTGGAGTAAATGCATGTTACCTATTTTTGAATATGATGTCACACTTATCTTCTATTCTATCATAATTAGCACAACTAATTTGATCACAACTCACATGACTTTTATGACTCTTTTTTTTCTGCTTTGAAATTGAAGATCCCATGGCAAGAGTGAGAGTCTTGCAAACTGAATGGGAAACTTCTAAATTATTCCAAAAAGTGTAAACATTATATTTTGCTTCCCTTCTGCTTTACCCTCATATATTTCTGTAGAATGTTTGTTCCTGAGGCTATAGCATTATATTTTGCTTAATGGGTGATAACATGCTTCGAACACAATGAATTTTAGGAGAAGATGTCGACAGAAATGAGTCAAAGTGACAACTCTAATGAAATTTCAACTAATGATAGTCTTAGTAAAGTGTTGGGAAAGGATCATGTTGGACGTGTACGTTGCTTGGGATTAGGAGGTTTACATAGTGTGGCATTTCAATCATCCACAAGATTTAGTGGCGTAGGGTGCAGTTCTTCAAATTTTGATTCTACTGAAAATTCTCAACTGAAAAAGGAAGTAATTAGTTTGAAGGGGCAATTGGCAACTTCTCAAGAAAATGTCAAGACATTAAAAAATGTCATGCTTGTTTACATACAAATGAAGGAAGGAATATTCCTACTGAGTTGGAGGCTATGTTTGGTAGTGGTACTACTAATGTAGCGGTAAGTGTTTTATATGTTTTTGCACTAAATTAAATTATATTAATACTTAATTGAAGTTTAATATTTTTTGCATATTTTATTAATAAGGATAACATTAAACAATTTGTATTTTATAGGATGAAGGGAGTGGACATGACATGCCAACACCACAAGGAGGATCTTCATTAGATAGTAATGTTCATGGAATTGGACATTATTATTGTTTTTTTTTTGTTAGACATGATGAACTATGAATTTGAACCTCTATTTTTATATTTGAAGCAAGATTAATTTTGGGACAATTTACATTCATGAATTTGATTTTTTGAGTTACTTAATATGTTAAATATGTTTTAGAATTGATGGATGTTAATATCTTAATAATGAAAAATATGTCATGCTAGATCTATGGCTAGATGTTGTCTTGATTTTTTTATAATATTAAAAATTGTTAATTTTATGTATCTTTATATAATTATGTTCGAACAAGAAACATAAAAAATACATAAATATTATTATAATTATAGGTAGAATTTATTAAAATAAGTGATCCTAGAATTCGACAAGTAAAATTTTTATTTATAAGTTATTTCAATTAAATAACAATATAATATAATCATTATTAATTTTCAATGATTAATATGGTTAATGACAATTTTAAATAATAATTTGATAAATACCTAAAATATATAAATTATTGATTTCTAATAAAAATGCGCTTTTAAAATAATTCCAACTATATTTTAAAAATAAAAAATAATAATAATTTTGTGGCGGTTTAAAATTGCTAGAAATGTTGAATCACGCAAGTGAATTTTGTGGCGGTTTAAGACCGCTAGAAATATTAAATCAAGCAAATTTTAGATGAATTTCACGGTGTTTTAAAATCGCTAGAAATATTAATTAAGGAAAACTTAGATGCATTTTGTGGCGGTTTAAAATGCATTTTGTGGAGGTTTAAAACCGCCACAAAGTTATTGAATTTTCTGACTCTCAAAACCAGCGTTTACAAAATGTACGCCACAAACCGTTTCTGGCGACCGTGGATTTGACGGTTATTAATGACGCCAGTAATGCAATTTTGGCTGTTTTTAACTGCCAGAAAAAGCTAAATAAATAACCCCCACAAATCACACATTTTTTTTAGTGGTTGTTGTCAAAAGTTATGCTTAATATATAAGAGTTTGACATTTAAAATTTGGGATACACACAAAAATTCTCTTAAAGGGTGTATTTGATTGAAATTTCATGAGACTATTTAGTACAAAAAAGTCTTGTAGTTTTTAAAAGATTTTGTAGGAATTTAATGAGTTTTAATATTTTTTTCAAAATATTTTGTATAGGAATGTAATGACGTTTAAGATTTTTTTAAAATACTTTTTTAATCAAATTTTTGTAATATGAATTTTAATGGATTTATTATATCTTAAGAATTTATAAGATTTGAAAGGATTTTATTAAATTTTGAAAGATAATGTGAATTTTTTTTTTTAAATTAATAAAAAAAATGACATAATGACAAGGTTTCAATCTTTCAATAAAAATAATTGATCTAGGTTTCATGCCCTCTCAAGAAGAAGTAAATGAGAGAAATAAACAAAAAAAAAAAAAGAATATGAAATAGAAAAGACATGAGAAGAGAGAGAGAGAGGAGAGAGAGACAAAAAAAGACAAGGAAGAAAAAAATGAGACAAAAAATTATGCAAAATCTCAATGACTTTAGTGAGATTGTTGGATAAGTGAATTTTATATAAATTTTACTAAAAAAATATCACAGAATTCATCCATCAAAATAATTTATTGAAATCTCTATATTTTTTTTAATATCAACAGACTTTTTAAAATGAAAAAAAAATATCTTAATTGAATATTACCAGATTTTTACACACACTTAAAAAATTCTAATTATCTTAATTGAATATCACATGACTTTTTTATATTAAAAAAATCTTAATTAAATATTATAATATTTTTCATAATAAAAATATTTTAAATTAATATATTTGTCACGTAAACATGAAAGAGACAATATTATAAAAAAAATAATAAAAAAGACTAAAAGAATTGAAAGAATTACAAGTATAAGGACTATAAAAATCTATCTTAAATTATAAAGAGTAAAAAATAATGAAAAGAATAAATATAAGATCTAAAAATATATATTTTAAACTATAGGAACTAAAAGATAAAATAAATAAAACTATAAAAAGTAAAAATAATTAAACTTTTTAAAATTAGAACATAAATTGTTGGCTTAACCGACAGTATCACTAATTAAATATTATTAAAAAAATATTTAGTTAGTATGGATCTGACTAACATAAATAATTTAGTAAATTAAATTATGTTAATATAATATTACATTCTATCATTAAAATAAAAATATATAAAATTAAATTATAAAGTGTAAACTAGGCTAACGTAAACAAAAACAATTTAAATTATTAACAACTGTTTTAGGTGCAGCATGTACCATGTTTAGTGCCTGAATGCACCAAGTAATTTGGATTATTAAATATTTAAGATTTTAAATTAATATTATAATATAAAATAATTATTTATAATAATTAAATTTTAGATGTCATAGGCAATAGTGACGAAACCTTAAACACACCGAGTTATATATAATATGTATATCTATAATCTCTCAAATTTAAAGTAAATTATTCTTTTTTCCTCAAATTTAAACTTTTTATAATTTTTATAATTTTTATAATTTTAGTCCTTCAAACTATTAATAATATATTTGAAAGTGATAAATAAAGAAAGTTATATAACATGAATTAAGTTTATGTTTTACTGACAAAAATATTTGTAAGTAGATTTTGTACGACAATATATAACAGATTTTCTAAAGAAATGAATATAAAGATTAAGATAAGATTTTTTTTTTGAAATTAAATAGACTAAAGATTAATTTTAAATTTGAGAGATTAAAAAAAATTATCTTAAATTTGAGGGACTAAAAATATATTTAAACCTACAAAAATTGTGAATTATGTGATAGAAAATTTGGCATAATTTTTCTTATTTATATTACATTAAAAAAAATTACATGAATTTCCTTATTTCTTTGAGAATTTTGTGAAATAAATTTTAGCATAATTTTTTTTATTTATATTCATTTAAAAACTTTTCATAATTAATATTAATAATCAATGATTAAACTTTATATTTAATAATTAATGTTTTATTATGTATTTATAATTTTAATTTGATATAATTAATATTTTTTAAAATTTCTTAAAAAGATAATTTATAACTTATGAAGAAGAATTATTGCAAGTAGATAATATAAAAAAAATGTGGTTGAATGTGGTTCACTTTATAAATAAGAAAATAAGAATTTAAAGTAATGTGATTTTCACAATTTGTTTGTTCTTCCTTTTTCAAACATCTTGTCGTACTATCTTAACTGTTAACATTGCGCAAATCTCGATAAGTGACATAATTTTAGTGCCAGTTTAGTTCCGTACGCGAATCAATGACAATATTTAATATTTGGAATGTAAACTTATTACAGCATTTTCCAGTGAGCAATTCTCTCTGTAATCATGTCATATTAACTTTTTTTTTTACTTTATGAAATACTTAAATTTTAATACAGAAATTTCTACAAATAATTATACGAAAATTTAAACAACTTATAAAATAAAAATAAAAAGCTGATATAATATAATGTGTTACAGAAATTATAAGCAACTCCCAGTCATATGCTTTTAGGAAACGTGGATCATCCAAACACGCAGTTATACATTAGAGAAGATCGATTATATCTGCTAATGTTGACTGCAAGGGATCAAACTTCATTACATGCAACTGAGATGAAACTAAAAAGTGAAAATCAGAAAACACAAACAATTATCCATTACGCAAACAAAACACAATGATGGATCTGAACTGAACTAAAACCAAACAAAGGTTTTGCCTTTGACCACGCTAGTTGGAAATGGCATCCATGAGGTCAGGGTAATTTTCCATTGCTTCCAAGATCTCACGAGGAAGACACACTTCAGTGTCAATAGAGTCTTCTTCAGCGCCAGCAAAAACAGTAATCTTTCCGAACATTTTATTTGCACCGCCACTTCTTACTGCCACAGGCTTTCCCCACCCAAAGTCATTACCGTAAATGTTGAACCTCGGAGAACTGCTAGTGACCAAGGAATTCTGACCAGTCAAACTACCTAACCTTAACAGCTTCGGGGTTCTCACCCAACACTCATAGTGGTTCTTTATGGTATCATGAGAGTGTAAAGAAATGACCTTGTTCATCTCCCAAGCACCCTTACCAACCCCACCCTCTAATAGTTCCCCAGCTTTCATGGTAACAGAACCAACCATCGCTGCGTTCCCAAAATACTCCTCTGAGAGTGGTGGAACCGTTCTGGGTCTAGCGCCAATCAATAGCACATAAATCACCTTTTCTTGTGGCACAACATGTTGGCAACGAACCACAGAGCACCAAAGGTGAGTTAAAAGCGCTTGCAGGGAAGATATCTTGTCGGTGTGGGCCTCAGCGTTGGCTTTTGACTTGAGTTGCGCGATTTTTTCCTTTGTGAAGTGGAAGACCCTCTCGGTTGGAGTTTGTGGTTTGAGGTTTGGGGAGTGTTGTTTTTTTTCCTCCGTTGTGAAAGGAAACCGTATGGGGCGGTCAACGCCATCTAGAAAGTAACGGTTAAAAGAAGGGAGTTTGGATATTTTAGGAGAACCACGTGATATTTCAGCGTAGGAGTTGACGAAATGCCAAAACGACTTGCCGTCAGCAACAACGTGGTTGATTGAGAAGCCGATGAAGATGCCGTCAAGTAACTCCGTGACTTGCACGGCCAGCACTGGTTGTGACGTGCTTTGGTGGTTTTTAACTCCGTTGAGTTGGAAGAAGGAGTGGACAATGGGAGGAACGTAGATGGGTTGAAGGATGTGGGCGACGGTGGTGTTGGGTGCTGAGGCGTGGACGAAATGGACACCTTCGTTGTTGCACTCGATGTGGGACGAGACAGTGTTGTCGGGATGTTGGAGAATGGCGAGACGACCTGCGAGGGGTGGGAAGAAAGCGAGAGTGGATGAAAGGGAGTGTTGGAGGTGCTGGATCTGGTTCGGTGTGGGACTTTGGTTGCGAAAAAGAAGGCCTTTTTGAATGGTTTCAACCGGGAGGAATTGGAGATCCCACGGAGTTAAATCGATTTTGTGAGGTGTGTTATGGTTAGTGTGGTTTGATGCCTTTATTGTGGTTGTGGAGAGGACTTTGACTGCTTCCATGGTGTGGTGTGGTTTGTTTCTGTCGGCAGAGGAAATATAAATAAAACACTATATGTTTTTAGTCTTACAGTGTATTTTTATTCTCTAAATTTTAAAATTATTATTTTGAGTTTTTATAATTTTAAAAAAATTTATTTTAATTTTTATATTTAAATTTTTTTAAAAAATTTATTAAATATTATTATATAAAATCTACTTATTAGTATTTTTATTAGTGAAAATATCACATTAAATCCGGTCGATATTGCATAATTGTCTTAATTAGTAACTTTTAAATATGTTATTGGTGACCTAAGAGACTAAAACAAGATTTTTAAAAATTACAGGGACTAAAAACAACAGTTTTAAATTTGAGGGACCAAAAATAAATTTATCTTAAATTTGAGAGACTAAAAACATATTTAAACCTTACTTTTAATTAAATATTATATGATATATATATATATATATATCTTTTTAGTTAAAAAAATCTTGTTTTAGTCTTTATATTCAAATTTTGCTAGAAAATTTGTCAAATATTATAACATAAAATCTACCTATATTAGTGTCTTTATTAATAAAAATATTACATTAAATTTGATTAATATTACATAACTATTTTAAATAATTATTTTTAAATATATTATTAGTAACTTAAAGAACTAAAATAAAAATTATAATTTTTAAATTTAAAAAATCAAAAATAAATTTATCATAAATTTTAAGAAACTTAAAAATAAATTTAAATCATTATAAAATTATTCCAACATCAAAATAGAGGAAAGATGACGTCAACAGAAAAAATCTACCTCTATAATATCCTTTTGGCGTTCACACGTTTTATTGTGGTTGATTTTAATAACGTATATATTTTTTTAATTATATAACTTGCATGAATTATATTTTCTTCAAAATATTCTTATTTATAATTGATTTAAATATATTTTTAAGATTTTAAATTTAAGATAAATTAATTTTTGGTCTCTCAAATTTAAAGTTATTATTTTTAGCCTTAAAATTTTAAAAAATTTATTTTAATCACTAATAACATATTTTAAAGTGACAGATTAAAATAATTATGAAGCATCAATAAAGTTTAATATGATATAACTACTAGGGTTAGCCTAGTGGTTGAGTGGGGAGGGGTTGAGGTAGTTAGAAACATGAAAAACTAGGTTCAATCTTCATTGTAACCATTTTTGTAATCTTTCTTATCTTTAAAAAAAAAAAGTTTAATATGATATTTATATTAATAGAAATATCAATACGTAGATTTTATACGATAATATATAATATTTTTTTAATAAAATTTGAATGTAAAGATTAAAATAATTTTTTTTAAAATTACAGAAATTGAAAAGACATGTTTTAAATTTGAGAGATTAAAAATAAATTTACTTAACTTTGAAAATTTAAAAATACATTTAAGCCTTAATAATTATTTAAAATTAATATGATAAAAATTCTCTCTCTTATTAAAATTAGAAAAGATAAATAGACATCAGTATCTCTCTTCTAAATAGTAATTAATTAGGTTTTATTAAATGAAAAGAAAATATATTAATTTTAAAAATAAGTAGTCAAAAATTATTATAACTAGAGATAGAGATAATAGTTTAGTTTCACACAACTTAATTAAATAATAAAAAGGAATAAAAATAATGTTTTTTATTGAATAAAAAGGAATAAAAATAATGTTTTTTATTTTTCAATAAAGAAGAGTAACCTAACATGAAGTCTAAGTTTCATCACCAATATTTTCAACATCATGTTGATGATCACATATAAAAATCATAAGAACAACAACAAACAAAAGTAAAGGGAGTGAAAAACATCTTACTCTTACTCATGATGCAGAAATGCAATCGAATAACCATACACAAACAAGAATACAACAAGATATAACAGCTTTTTGATGTAAATAAATAAAATAATTGATAAAATATAGGAATAAAAAAAAATTACCAGTATACATGATTTCTGCCACGTGGAAGAAATCACAATTGGCAGGGGGACGGGAGTTTTCAGATGGCATAGGGGAGATGCTCCTTCCTTGTTCTCCATTTTTGCACGTCATATGCCCGGTATTCAGAGGTGGCAGCCTTATATGGATGGTGCAGGGGGAGGCATTTTCCAAATCCCGAGAGGCTGTGTGAATGGCGTAGGGGGAGGCATTTTTCAATCCATGTCAGCCTTGCCTACATGCAAGGGACACAGATATAGAGCAAAGCAAAGCAGCCTTTGACCATTAAAGCGCAAGGGGCCCCCTACGTTTTCCACGTGGCACAGTTGGTGCAGGGGCCCCTTTGGGCCATCCCAACAACTTCCTCAACCTCTCATCACTTGCATAAACTACCTCCCACACTGTCTTCTCTCATTCTTACTCTGTGTTGCTTGCTCCCCCAACTTTCTTCTCTCATTCTCAGTCTCTCTCGCTCCCCCCAAGTCTCTTCTCTCATTCTCAATCTATCTTGCTCTCTGTTTCAGGCTTCTCTTCTCTGTTGATCTCCGGTTAGGTGGTGGTTGTAGGTTGGTGGGTGGTGGCTGTAGGCTTTTGGTGGTGACTATGTTGGTTGGTGGTGGCTGGTAAGTAATTTTTAATTGGTTTTTGTAATTAATTTAATTATTTATTTATGTATTAATAATATGTTATAAATATTAATTATTTGCTATTTATTTATTACCAAGTAAGTATAGACATTTAATTATTTTAAATATATTTTACGTTATTAATTTTATGTAATGAATATTGTATATTTTAATTTTTAAGTGTAGAGACCCATTTTTGTCCAAGGTGCCCTAAAACATGAAGAACGAGGCTAAACAAGGAAGAGAAGACCCTGAAGGCCCATTTTGACGCAAGAACGGACTAGAGCAACATCCATAGGCCCAAAACGCAAAGGGCCGAAATTAGGAACCCGGAACGAGCCATTCCCAAACAGGAACAGGCTGTTCTGCACTTTGAAAATAGCTTATAACCCTAAGTCAGAATGCCCTACTCTGACCTAGTTTGTTACATGCAAAATTTAAATTCGGAACAGGCCGTTTTGCTTTTGGAAATGGGCCGATCCAGTTTCAAATCTTGTATGTAACAAAAACGTCCAGAACGAATCGTTCTAAATTTAGAAAGGCTTGTTTTGGTGGATTTTCGTGCCTATAAATAGGAGACTCGTAAACGGTGTTAGGGGCCCCAAAATTTAGTCTCAAAGCATCTCTATAGAGTCTATACACTTATCTTCTTCTTCCCTTTGTATTTCTTGAATTTTGTGAGGTAATTGTAGTGTGAAAGACTGCCAAAAAGTGTATAGATTCTGTCATTGAAGATCCAATAAAGTTTGATCAAGAGATATTTAATAAAAATCCTTTCTATAATCTATTATCCTTCTCATATAACATTGTTAATCAATAAAAGCAACCATGTAGACATCTTAGGTAAGATCGTGTAATTTTAAATTCAAATGTAAATGGTTTATTAATAAAAGGGAAATAAATGTTTGCATTATTATTTTTTATTATGCTAAATTCATCATAGGTTATCGAATTATGGCGTTGTAAGGTGCCTAACCGTGACAGACTCTCGAACCCGATTTTGACTATGAAAGCCATTTTGACATTTTTAAAACTCTTTTTTTTCCTAATGTTTTGAGTAAAACATCGTGACTCCTTCAAACTCTTTTCAAGATCATTAATTAAGGATTATTCTAGACTCCGGATATTTCTTAATTAGTGAGATTTTCAAATTGGAAGTCCAAACCATTGTGGGTAAGATCAAAATTTTTTGGATTTCAACATTAAGTAGTGTCTGTTGTAATTTTGGAGCGGTAAATTTTAATTAATATGATAGTTTTAAATATTATTTACTTTTATTATATTAGTGGTAAAAAATTTAATATATATATGAAATATTAAATTATAAACTGATAATGTATGTGTAAGTTGTGTATAAATAAATTGAGAAGCCAATAAAATTGAATAATGTAAATTAATAAATTTAATGTGATTAAATTTTTTATATTATATAAAATGTATAGATATTTCTATTTTATATAAAAATTCAAAATATAATATTAGTAATTAAAAATAAGTAATTTTAACAATTTTGAATAATTTAAGTATAGAAATGCAAGTAGTATTTAATTTTGATATATTAATATTATTACATTAGTAAAAAAAGTTGTGGTAAGTATCTTTGATTTTGAAAAAAAATATATATGTAATAATATAACTTAAGATTATATATTTGAATGTTGAATGATTTAGTTGTAATTAATATTATTTTTTGTTATAAATTAAGTTAACAAGAATTTAAATTTGATTAAACATAAAAAAATCTTTGTAGTTATTATTTTAAATTATAATTATCACATTTTGAAAAAAAAACATAAATTTCATGAATTTTTCTTCTGCATGGTTATTCAAAATTAAAACTTAGTAATAATAAACGTAATCTGTAAAATTTAATTGTACATTATATAAGAATAATAATTTCAAACCCAAATACGGGTCATCAAGAGAAACATTCTTTGGATTTTGATGCCAAAATGGCTGACTTTGCTGAAAACGGGACACGAGGTTCTTCCTGTGTTCAAGAAGTTGTGAAGAAAAAGCGCGGCAGAAAGAGCAAAAAGGAGAAGGAGGAGATGGAGAAGAGGAGGATGTTAGCCGGATATGGCTTGTGAATCTGGTTAAGAGGCAATTTTAGAGATTTTTGTAGGGCATGGTGACTTGTTTGCAGTGGTAAGGTAGCTCTGTGAGAATTGTAGCAGAGTAGTTGCGGGGGAGTAGTTGCTGGGGTTCAAGGAAGATAACGGAAGATATGATCAACATGTTTTTTTTTTTTTCTATTTTGTTTTGTTGTTTGTTTTTTTGTTTTTTTTGCTTTTAATTTGTATTATATTTTGTAATATGTATGGGCTGGACTTTATCATATAATTTGATTTATACAGGAAGACAAAATTTGGAGTTAACAGACATTTGCCAACTTTACTTTATTTTCCTTTTTATTTAAATTTTTCAAAGGAAAAAAATATAAAATTAAGT